AAGGATTTCCATATTCAAGGCCCCAAGAAAAAGCAATCAAGTGGGAGGGTGATGTGTTCTATTTTCAAATTTCCACCTAATCGCTGGGCCAGCGATTATCAGAAATACGCATAAATATCCTCCAGCTAGCCGTGAATATTCCAAACTCATTAAACGATGACGTCGGTCTAAAGTGTTTGCAAATGTTTTAAAATTAGCCGCTTGGCCGCTTCGATTGCTTTCCAATCTTTCGTGAAATAACTCTTATAAATAGCCAAATCGCTGCGATCAGCTGATATGATATTGCGATCTCATGCGCTTGGCTAAATCAAAAACCAAATGGTGGGTCGTAAATTGTAAATGCAAACAATGGAAATGCAAAAAAAAACAACGATGGGGTGTGCTAGGTGTTGCACCCGGAAACAGTGCTGAAATCGAAACCGATCAATAAATTGGCTATCGGGCAGCTGGTCGAGAGCCATAATAAACCAATTGTCAAACTGTCAAATTCCCAGCACATTTTTCTGCACTCGTATAAATAAAATACTTTGGCGCACCAGCAATTCCCGCGTTTAATATGCCTGACACCTCTGTCGCCGAACATTCGTCTTTCTTTTTTCCTTAATTGTTAATATAATAATAATAATTCGCTTTCAATGTCAGGCAGCCGAACAAAAAGTATTTGAATTGCATAAAACAAAACAGACGCCCTGCACTCGATGCCCGACAAGTGGAGTGTAATTGAAACGAATCGACAATTTGAGATATTAAACACAAATATGCCAAAAAAAAGTGACCTCCACCCCTCTTAAGGTTCGTGTTCTCTTCTTGTTTGTGGCTGCCGACCGAGAAATTGTCCCAATTGATAAACGAAATTAATTCAATTCTGTTTTCGGTTTGTGGTCACACATCCACTTGCTCTATTTCGTCACTACTTGACCAGCATTCCTCCGAAATGTGAGTGATGCGAATATTGCGTGCCAAATGGAGGGACCTCGACCTTGAGGATTTATTTTGAAATTCCTCTAGACGGAATTTCTCCGTAATTGTAATTGCAATCAAAACAAATACCTCTATCCCACTGCATTTCACTAAAATCATGCCGAAATATCCACACAATCGATCGCATCAAGGTTGCCGTTTCAGCTGGTGACCCCGAACATCAAGGAGAAAGCCGAAATTCCTTCTGGTTTATACTTCACTAATTGCTTCACCAACAAGTTCAAAATTCCCATTCGCAATTGCACATAAACAAAGACAGACCGTTAAAGAATCGAGTAAATAAATACACTTTTTAATGATCAGCAAATTGATTATGGATGGTTGAAAATGACTTGGCAACTCTCAATGAATTCTGGCAAATATTTATGCATTCTCTGGTATATTCGGCTCGGAAACCATTAACCACAGTTATTAAATTCGGAAAATAGCCTGAAAATTAAATGGGCCGAATGAAATTTCTTTAAAAACAAATACTTATGAAAGCGGAATTCCTTTGGAATTAAGTGACAGGGAGATCTGATTTAAATTCCGATCGCAATCGCAGACAATAAAGCGGCATTCATGGGGAACCTCTCAATTTATGGCAAAAGTTTCCACACTTTTACGACGCCAACCCATCCAACTTATCAATTGGCGCTATGACGAAATACTATGAATCTCAGTCACCAAATTGAACAATGTAAATCGTATCGATAACATCCGCGATAAGGAAGTTACATGACAGGTGGGATTGGCATTGGATTGGCGTGTTCTTGAACTACTTTCTGCGTATCAATAATGCTGTTCTTCCGCCTGCTCTGACTTCAAGTACCTGAAGTCCAAGCACTTCGATTCGGTAATATGACTTCAATGCTTTGGAATTCCACCAATCTATAGGGGCCCCAGTGCGTATGGCCAGAATATCAATAAAATACCTTTTGGACCGCATAGCCGCACAAATAATGCTAATCAGGGGGCCAATTAAATAATGGCATAATTATGTTTGTATAAATACCCGCTAATTGATTGGCCAGTTCAAGTTAGGCATTCGCGCGATGATAAGGCAGCCAGTCGGACGTGTTTCATTCACCCGACGACGACATTTAATGACTTCATTTACCCGCCAGATTGTCATCAATCCCTCACGTTGATAGTTCGCTTTAATTGCATTCCAAATATCATGAATTTACTCCCAACTGAACGGTTGTCGTGCTGTTTTGTTATTACTACAAATTAGATACAAATATTCAGGGACAACTCATGCGCTTTGAATGTCAGGGTACGGATACGCATTGCACTTGCAATCAGATAAGCTAGCATGGTTTTATTTTTAGTTGACATTGCATTATCTGGCATTCTTTGGGGTCTAATCTTATCCAATACCCGAGTTTGACTTGACCATTAGGCGACACATTCGCTCCGCTCTCCATTAATCTCTAGGCGGGCTTTTGTCTGCTTTCGGACTCAAATCGTAATTTGGCCGGCAGCTTTCGGACAGAAATCGCTCATAAAACCGAAGTTTAATGTCATGCAAATCGCGTCGGGCGACAGAGCGACTTAATGTCGTCTGATGGCTTTATTTCACACATCGTGGCCTGATTTGTTCCCCATTCAGCGGCGGAGACATGCTTTTTAATTAGATATCCTAATGCTTTCGGCTTTTTCTGCTTGCCCAGTTAATGGAGAAGTGTTTATGATTCACTCTATCGTTCCCAATATTAAGAGGTAATAAAAGGGAAATGCTTACACCCTGAATCATGAACAATACTTTACTTCCGGTTACCGACTGGCCATTCATTCACAATTTCGAGATTAAGAGGGACTCATCGATAAGTAAATAAAGGTTGACGGCATAGTTTGTTTGTTTGTTTTTGGCGTAATGAAAAATGGGATCATCCCGCTCGATGACGACGCGCAGTTAACTGAGATGATGCGGTCTATATGGTATTGCAAGTGCTCTTAATGATAATTACTTGTATGCAAAGAGCAGATCGAAGTTAAGTGAAATGGCAGACAGATTGGCGATGATCACATCGCCAAAACAACATCTATATATCTAAAATACTATAAAAAAATCTCTGCACTTTGCTCGAAGCTATAGTTGGTATTCAAATTTCGCACACACCTACCTTAATAACATTTTATTCGATTATGGCCTGGGGGCCTTGAACTCGAATTGGGTCCAATTATCACACATATATCTTATCAATTTCTGAGACCAGATAAGAGTAAACAAAAACAAACCCAAATACTAAAATTAACTGCGCACAAAAATTCGGCGAGGAATTTGCACGCGAAAAGTGGTTTTTAATGATCTCTGACCTTATAGGTGGGCTGCATACCAAAACATCCGCCCACATACTTTCCCACAGCCACTGTCTCTGCGTTTGCCAAATTCGGGCAAACATTTTGCCCCCAAAATACCTTGGGATGCGCTCTGTTCTCGCCCATCGGATACAAATGACGTATACGCCACAGTGGCAGCAGTAACAGTAACAGCAGGACGGCTCTCTCTCTGTCGCTCTGTAGACCACCACCTACGCTATGGGCTATATAGCTCCCGAGATCGGTCGGCAGAGCAGCGCTGCCGGCAGCAACAATAACAGAAGCAGCAGCAGCAGCAACCTTATGTGGTGGCCCATAATTCTAGCTGAATTCAGTCAGCAACCAGCCGCGATCGAAGTAGGAACAGCGCGATAAGGCAATCGAACCTATAATATTATAAAATCAAAAGACGAAACTCTTCCAGATATTGGCCATAAAGTGCGGGCATTTGACTCGAATTGTGCAAACTTTTCAAAATGTTAGTATTGCGCACGGTTACTGGAAAAGTAAACGGTTCTCGAGGCAACTTTGTTTACCAGACCGACTGCTGTGTCAGCAAAGTCTAGATTGTTTGGAGTTCAAATTGAGGCCTGGAATTCAGGCATATCTCTGGCTCCGCCAGGAATAAACATCGGTGTTTAAAGAGTTTTAAAATCCGCAATATTTACTGGGCTTCTAATTATAGACCCCTTCGTCACGGCTCCAACTACAATTCAATTTCATTCTTTTCTGCTTCTCACTCACGCCAAAACTTTATTGCCAATTGGCTGGGCAATTAATTATCAACACGAACTTTCAAATTAATTATCACTAAATTAAAAACGGGTTCACCATTAGCGAACAATCGACAGCGAAAAAATCAAATAATAATAAGCCATGGGGTGGGGAGAATGTTTGAACACCTTCGCGACTTTTGTTTGGCCACAGCCACTAGTGATTCTGAAGATATCTAAATTTATGTGTGTGATATGGCTGTGTCTTTTAATTGAATACACATTGTTATTGTGGCACTCGGGGCAAAAATGCTGAGCCAGCGGGCGAAACAGGAAAATCTATTTGCAATTTGCATTTATTTATGAAACTTCTTGGGCTTCGCTTCGTGTTCTCGGAGATAAACAAGTTTGATCTTCGTCTCCGTCTCCAGAATTATCTGCCGAAAAACATAAATATATAAAAGCGCCAAAACATCATAAAATAAAGGGGCGCTTCGGAGAGTGATTTTTCAGATTTTTCGATTGGTGTGCGCAAATTTGAATTCGCTGCCGAATCAAAGAGACCAAAACGGACCGGAAAAAAGTTTGGGAAAAGAAACGCTTTGGGCTAAACCGCTGGCAGGGTTTCGTGGATCGGGCAAACCAGCTGGCGTCATCAGAATATATATAGCGGGGCTAACTGTTAACTGTTTGTCTGTGCACGGCCAGAGAATTTCTGATGAGGAGCCGCCCGTATCCGAAAGATACCAATTAATTATCCCACCCAGACCGAACGGGTTTCTCCTGCTCTGACTAAGTTTTCTACTTCGTTGCACGGGTCGTATGCGCGATGTGAGGAATTTCGTGTATTTGCCCAATTAATTGTTGACAAATTGCAAGATTTTTATCTTCTTGTTGATCTTAGCGATAAGATAGTATAATGTAGATGAGTGCAAATTTAAAATTCCGTACTTCTCCCGCTTCAGTTGCAGATTTGAATACGTTTGATTTTGAATACGAGCCATGACCATCAAACCCGCCCACCTGGTGGGCCTCTTGGCCCTGCTAATGGGCGTGGCCAGCGCCTTTGATCAAACCCTGAAGCGGGACTTCCCGGGTCCCTACTGCGCCCTGCGCAACACCTGCTGCACGGATCGGCACGACGGCTGCTCGCTGCCCATCTCCAGTAAGTCTGTTTAAATTAAATAAAATTTAACAAGGAAGGGATGATTTGAATTATAAGTAACTGATGTATTCCATTTTATAATTAACATTGCAAAAAAACTTGTTATTTTAAAACATCTACATTCATAATTAGTTTATTGTAATACCTAGTTTCAACACCTGAAAAAAATATTAGTATAGAAGATTTCATAAATTAAAGTTTTAAAATTTTTTTTTTGCTAAAATGTTCAAATTAACTATTTTATTGATAAGTTAGTAATTTTTAAAAGCGATAATTAAAAATTGGTTTTTTTAAATAAATCAAAATTGAAATATTTTTATATAACAATCACGCAATTTAATTTAAGGATTTTTATAAAGGTTACATCTTTGTATTTATTTATTAAATTTTGTAGAGCATTTATTTTTATTTTTCTAATTTTTTGAACCTTATTCTTGCAGCCACCCTCTGCTACTGCGATGAATTCTGCGATCGCGACGATTCCAGCGACTGCTGTCCCGACTACCGCTCCTTCTGCCTGAGGGAGCCCGACCCAGTGATCTCCTGCGAGCACAAGGGCGTCTACTTCAGCAAGTTCAACAGCACGTGGGACAACTGCAACGAGTGCCGCTGCCTGGAAGGCGGCAAGGTGAAGTGCGACGAGGATCTGTGCCTCACCGACGACGACATCATCAACGGGGTGAACTCCATCCACCGACTCGGGTGGTCCGCCCGCAAGTACGACCAGTGGTTGGGTCGCAAGTACGCCGAGGGACTGAAGCTGCGTCTGGGCACCAAGGAGCCCACGTATCGCGTGAAGGCCATGACCCGCCTGAAGAATCCCACCGACGGGCTGCCCAGCTCCTTCAACGCCCTGGACAAGTGGTCCAGCTACATCTCGGAAGTGCCCGACCAGGGCTGGTGCGGTGCCTCCTGGGTGCTGTCCACCACCTCGGTGGCCAGCGATCGCTTCGCCATCCAGAGCAAGGGCAAGGAGTCCGTCAAGCTATCCGCCCAGAACATCCTCTCCTGCACCCGCCGCCAGCAGGGCTGCGAGGGCGGTCACCTGGACGCCGCCTGGCGCTACCTGCACAAGAAGGGCGTGGTCGACGAGGCCTGCTATCCGTACACCCAGCACCGCGACGCCTGCAAGATCCGCCACAACAGTCGCTCCCTGCGGGCCAACGGCTGCCGTCCCGTGGACAACGTGGATAGGGACACCTTCTATACGGTGGGTCCGGCCTACAGCTTGAGCCGCGAGGCCGACATCATGGCGGAGATCTATCACTCCGGCCCGGTGCAGGCCACCATGCGGGTGAACAGGGACTTCTTCGCGTACTCGGGAGGCGTCTACCGCCAGACGGCGGCCAACCGCAAGGCTCCCACTGGATTCCACTCGGTCAAGCTGGTCGGCTGGGGAGAGGAGCACAATGGTGACAAGTACTGGGTGAGTAATATATAGATAATAAAGTCCTGCATGAATGGATTCAATTAATTATTTTGAATTTTTTGTTTTATATGAATGAATTAATTCGAATTTTGAGTTTAATAGAGTTTAATAGAATTAAATGAATTTGAATTTTGAGTTTAATAGAATTGAATGAATGAATGGCATGAATTCCGAAATAATTCAAACGACAATTTCTTTTGAATTTCATTTACTAAGCAGTTTTCCACTTTTTATTTTTTAATAAAATGCACACAAAAAATTTGGCAAATTCAAAAAATTCATAAAAATTATTCATTCATTCAGTCAATTCGAAATGAATTAGAAAAAAATGAATTAGAAAATCAGAAGTTTCATGGCATACTATGATAAAACAAAAATTAAATGATTCACGCAGGGCTCTAATAGATAATGACCAAGCTATCCAGAATGACCTTCTCTTATCTTCCCCTAACAGATCGCAGCCAACTCGTGGGGTCCTTGGTGGGGAGAGCGCGGCTACTTCCGCATCCTGCGAGGCTCCAACGAGTGCGGCATCGAGGAGTACGTGCTGGCCTCCTGGCCCTACGTCTACAACTACTACAACGTGCAGTCGGCTTAGCGGGAGTTATCAGTAATCAGAGAGGGCCTACGCCTCGCACCGAGCAATCTCTAGCTATGCAGAAACGAAAACAAATTTATCTCATGCTTCAAAATTTTCCATTTTCTATTTGGCACTCAAAGTGAATTAGGCGCTTCTACTTGTAATTCTTATGCTTAGAACCTAGTGACTAAAAACATTAGCTTTAAGTTGCGCGAACGCACCAAGTTAACTGCCCGCAGTACCAGGCCTGTCCCTAACCACTTCTCTCACCCACTAACTGGTCTCGAAGCAACACGAAACTGCCACTTAACCACCGCTCCATCCCCCAATTACTGCCACCACAACTAGAGGAACAACCAGAAGAATCCGAACATCCACACCCCTGTAGCGCATGTGATCGATGGAAGGACGAATACTGGATCGGCGAGAGTCTGTAGGATATGTACGAGTGCGAACTCATCGTGTATTGTAAATGGAAACTAAGTTAACTGATTGATAGACCGATGACGGTTAGTCGGCTTATATATTTTTAATAAACGAATTACTTTACATGTTTATCGATGACGAGTTTTGATTCACTTAAGTCCAGGCCACACATCCAGGCGAAAACAGTTTGCTCTTAACTTTATTTGTAATACATATTTATACGTAGCGCGTGGCGATTCATGAACCAATTCGATAATGGTATGTAAGATTGTATAATTTTTGTTTAACAATATTTTCACATTATTTTTTAGGGTACGGTAGGGTGGGGGATTAAATAGAGTGATCCTTTTTTGGGGTTATTTACGCGTAGCTATCATACTAAATAAATGGGGGAAATAATCAAGAATGTGTTTACTTTGCACTTACGATTACGATCGAAATCAAATTGACAAAACAAAAGTTGGTCGAAGGCCCACAACTTTCCTAACCATGGAATTTCATTTCTCACACAAGCGATTTGGATACGAACGGTCTACGAGCTGCAAGCTGATAACTAGCAATATAAAAACGTGCCTGGCCGGTCGACCTGCAGGCTCTCAGCTCTTCGTTGCTTGCTGGCGGTGTCCGAAGTGGTTGGCCCGGGCTAATTGAGTGTGATGCCCGCAAAGGAGACCTCCAGCGTCGAGTCATTGGATTCCATGCGACTGCGTATGTGCGCCAGAGTGTTCTTGTAATGACTCTCGATTTGTTTGGTCTCCTCGCTGGGCTCCAGGTTGGGCAGTTCCTCGTTCACCTTGGCGATAAGCTAAAATAAAACAATTAATTCAAGTTTAAGGAGATTTTAACCTTTTCTTTAGTCACCTGGTTAAGCATGGCGACGGTGATCAGTGAGTTGCCGCGTTCAAAGTAAAAGAGATAGTGATTCAGCAGCTCCACATACAGTTGCACCTGCACGCCAGTATCCAAGCACTGCGAGGCAATGCGGGCGCCTTTCTTCAGGCAGTCCAGAGTTCGCTTCTCATCTCGCATCTCCTCGCCATTTTGCCTAGACAAAGTGATATTTTAGCATTGATTCAATCAAGAGATAGCTCTCCTCCCCACATACTTTCCACTCCAGAAGAGCGCCGCACAGGCCACCACTCCCCGACACTGATCAGGCTTTTTCAGCAGCTTGGAGGCGGCCAGCGCACAATTCGTCCTTAGCGGCTCGGCGTTCTCCTCGCCGAAGCAGGACATTTGTTCGAAGGTGGACATAATGAGCGTTATGGCTGCCAGCTGGGCCTTGGAGTCGGAGATCTCGTCCTCGTAGAGGGAGAAGGCCTGGGTCATGAACTCGTACGCCACCGTTTCGTGGTTCGTATAGCCGATCTCCCCAATCACCAGGGCACCTTGGAGATACAGACGCAGAGCCAGATCTGCGAGATCGGCCTTGGCCAGCGCACTGATGGTGCTGTGGCAGTACTGCACGATCTTCTGGCACTTCTTGTCCCAGTTCTCATCCTGCTCGGCGATCGCCTTGTACTTGAAGGCCAGCTGGTAGGCGGCGAAGACGAGTGGAGGCAGGACATGCTTGAGTCGTTGTCCGCCACCATTTCCCAGATGCTTGCGGGCGGTCTGCAGCATTTTATACTGCATGTCCGGTTCGTCAGAGCGCATCAAGTGAATGAAACTGAAAGGGGGAAATTAATTTTAAAGGTATTTGGCAAAAGGATATCAAACATACCGTGCCACAACGCCCTGCTCTTCGGCAAACTCCTCGGCATCCGGACTTGTGTTTCCAGCTGCCGCTGCGCCGTCTTTGTTCGTGTCATCGTCCTTGATTAGCGGCGTGATGATCGTCAGCAGACTATCCGCCTGATCAGCCGTGGTAACCAGAGTCTCGTTGTCCAGAATATTCATAACCAAATACAGGGCCAGTGATTTGCGGGAGGTGTAGTCAAACTTTTCGAGCAGCGGGCAGAAGTTGTGCAGCTGGATGATGGTCAAGGCGTTGTTGTAGAAGTCGATGCAGATGCGCAGGAGGCGCGAAAGCTCCTGGTTCACGGACAGCAGATGCGAGATGCTGCAAGGGAGAAACATTTAGGAACCATAGTGATCCCTCATGAGTTTAACCCACTTGTTCATATTCATGCGCTGTAGAATTTGTGCGGTTGTGCCCAGCACCTTGTCCACATAGTCAACGCGATCGGCATAGACCTTCTGGGCAAGGCTTAGCAGGGCAACCTGCAGCGAAATGGTGTCCTCCAAAGGCATGTCCATGCGGGTCTGCACAATGTTGGCCACCTGGACGCTGAACACCTCGAACAGCTCCACCTCGGCGGGTATGATGGCATCGATGGCGTTGCCGCTGGTCTGAAAGATAGGTAATTTAAATACTGATAACTGGGAATTCTGGCGAGGATTACCTTGCCACTTCGCTGGTTGTAGGCAGCCAGTCGCTCGATCAGGGATATTATGATGTTCTTCACGTTCACCCCGGTCTCCAGCTGGGCACAGGACTTCAGGAAGGGGTCGAGCGTCTGCAGGTGGAACTCGTCGGGGAACACCTGGATGATGCACTCCATGAGGTACTCCTGAGCAATGGCATCGCGGCAGCTGACCACCTGCTCCAGAATGCCCGGCAGGATGAGCCGCTGGTAGGTCTCCAGAGTGGCCGACTCCAGCTGCGACAGGCGCACCAGATTGGTGCCCACCAGGATCTTTAGCTCCTCGCGCTCCTTCTCGCGCCGCGTCTTCTCGCTGGAGTGTCCCTGGTGCTGCATGCGCACCCACAGCTTGTTCATCTCGGCGAAGTTGGTCAGCACAAAGTCGATGGCATCGTACACGTTGCCCTCGTGCTCGTTCTCCGCCACCATCACGTCGGGCAGGATATTGCGGGTGCACTGCAGCAGGTAGTTGCGCAGGAAGAGGCCCCTCAGCGGGTGCTGGACGCCGCGGCACATCTCCACCAGGTCCTTGAGGATGCTGCGCTTCAGCGTGGAGTCGTTCTTGATGTACACAATGCCCACGGTGATCAGAAGGTACAGGCGGGGCACAATGGTGTGCGAGTACTGGACCAGTTCGTACAGATCCGTCTTCTTGTCGCTCTTCTCGCTGAGGTACAGCTCCAGGTGGCACAGCTCGTTGGTCACGGCCATGTCTGCAGGGGAGAGGCAATGGTTGAGATCTGAGGGATTACTGGGATACTGGATACTACTCACACAACTCGTAGTAGCTCTTGGGGGACAGCAGGGAGGTGCGCAGCTCACTCAGCATGGTGCTGGCGCACTTGAGCGAGTCCAGCATGCGCTCCTTGTCCAGGAAGTGGTTCATCTGGAAGGCCTGCTTCCGCGCCGCTCCAACGGCCTCGGCCAGCAGCTTCTCCTGGTCATCCAAACCATTCGGCATGGTCTGAAAGGAGACATGGCAGACGATATTACTGGCTGGGGCGTACATGAATCGACTGGGAGCACAAATAACAAACAAAACAGTGACTGCTCGAGATAAACCCGCTGGGCTTACTGCGGATCGAGTCCGGAAGCAGCGGAGCAGGAGGATTACCAGAGGCGCTGATAAGCGGGATGGAGATTACCCACATCCGAGATTGGAGTATTTACCCGGGCGTTGGCGGCACTAGGCACCTGGCCGCCGTACGAGGAGGAGCTCCAGGGGTACATGGTCGGGGGTCGTGGGTCTTGGACCGGGGGGCGTTGCTTCTCACCACGGGCTGCCCCTTTTGACGTCGACAGGGGCGCAGTCAGCGGTTCTTGCTCGGGGCACTCGGCACTCAGCACTCGACTCTCTGCCAATCTGCTCTGCCTATTCGCGAATCCCGGCTTCTGGCGACTACAAGGCGGACTTGGACGCACTTACCATTACTTCAGCGTTGGGGCGGATCGAAATTAGCCAATTATTCTCTTAATATCTGGATTTTCGGCGATGTGCATCTGTGTGTGGAACTAGTGTGCCCGCGCAAATATACCGTCCGGCTCTGAAAAATATACCAACAACAATTCAAACGGTCACGCTGAAAACAACAGTAATTCTATCGATAGTTCCAGTCCAGTTTCTATCGACTGTTACCAATGCACTGTTAATTTCACTGTTAATCGGCGTACAATAAACTCTTTATTTAGTTTTATTTTTGGCCAAATAGCAATATGCTCTTTTTGACCAAATTGTAATATTTGAAGTCCCCATTTGGTAGCATTCTATAGGTTTCCTTGATTTTTTTAAAATTTGACAACATTAAAGTATGATAAATTCATTAAAATATCCTAATGAAAACGCTTTAAATCGAAGGCCACAAAACTTTAAAAGCCATATAATAATTATAAGCTATATTGCAACTGTGGATGATGGAACAGAAGTTTGTATGGGTCTCAGAAGCACCCAAATATCACAGAAAACTAGAAATGGTTCGTGGAAACTTTTGCCTTCGTACCTGTGTAATTTTTGAAAAAAATACTTTTGGAGATGTGAACAAACTTTAAAAAAAAGTAAAGTCTCATGTTTTTAAAAGTAATGTTTGTAATTCGAAAACCTCATATTAAAATTTCATTTTAAAATTTTCATTTGTGTTGACCCAGCTTCATTGAGCTGACCTGACCTGACCTGGTCCAGAAATACAGCAGAAAATCTGTTTTTGACCGAATTAATTCTGAAACCAAGGCCGATGCAACAATAACGCGAACGGTATATGAAAGAAACTTTAAGGCAAAAACCATATCATATTGGAAACTTCCAGACATAAAGTCCCTATAATTACCAACACCCCGAACGTTGTAAATGCATCAAAATTGAACCGCCCATCGGGGTATATTTCACAAAAACACAGCAAGAACAATAAAAACGAGGAGAAAGAGGAGCAGGTTAAAGGAAGAGGAAGGGAGGGCGGCGGAGGGGAGCCACAAAACGTGCTTTCAATTTTCAGCTCGAATCATGATCCCAACGCAATCTACACGGGTATAAAAACGCATCCAGGCTTGAGTTCGAACTTTGTAGCCAGAAATGAAAATAAAACTGTTGTATTTTGGACAAAAAATTAGGTATTTAAGGGAATTTAACTAACGGGACGAAAACCCCAATTTTCTTATTTTTTTTTAGAGGGTTTAGTGTTTTTTTATCCGTTTATAACGGCTTCTATGACAATTTTCCAAAAAATAAATATATTTTCCAAATAAAAGACCAGTATCATCTTTGGCAACTGCGAATGGTCAATTTGATTTCATTTACCTAGCTTTCTTTTATTACGTTGCTTACATTCCAGGAACTAAGCTACTACTACTATAGTCCATACTAACAGCGAACATAATTTAAAAAAAAACTATATGAGAGGCTTAAACCCCACATTGGACACGGAAAAATCCCCCATTAATCGATTTTACACGGAAACAAAATTATTATAAAAAAAAATAATTATTATAAAATATTTATAGCAACCCGTAGAGATAAAGTTAAATCAAAAAAAAATTTGTTTAGTAATTTCTTTTACGATTTTATAATGGGTAAATAAGTACAAGGAAATACGAATATAATATTTATTACCTCTATGTATTTTTTTGAGTGAACTTCTTTTTGCTCAGCGACCCTCGATTGCCTTTACAAATTTGCCATAATGAATATTTCGAAGAAGACATAAACCGATTCCCGGTTGGCTGCCGTTTTGCTCCCGCTCCATGTGGTTATACATTTCAGGTACTCCTCCTCCAGGCCCCCTTACCTTTAGCCAATCCTGATCTGGATTCACCGCGCCCCTGATTTCAATAGCAGACAATATCCACTAAGAAGTTGGGTCGAAGGTAAAGCGATGTTTATAAAAACATATGATTCATATTGAAGATTAAGTTCAGTTTCATATTGTATTGCTGATATACTTGAATATAAATTCGGTGTTTCTGGAATCGCCTTTCAATCCATTTGTTCGGATGCGAAAGATGGTCTTTCTTACCTGTCGGAGCGGGCTCAAATGACCTTATCATTCGGACCCGTCTGCGCTGTGTTATCAATTAATGAACGCCCCAGCTTCCATTCCCTGTTCTTATCTTAAGTAAAACGAAGACCATTCTCCTGCCACAGTTTCTGCACTTAGAAAAAAAACTCTTAAAATTTTTATTTTATTTTTAACCAACTGCCGTTAATTTTATAAGGCATATTCATCAACAGCCTTTACCCGTCATTATAAATATTAAACACTTTTGTTATGTTTAAAAAAGGTTTTGACAAAATTAATATGTTTTAATTAAATAATTTTTTTCAAATAGTACGAATTTGGTTTAGAATTAAATAAATATTCATTCAAAAGAGATTATGCATAGCTTACAATATTTTATAATATTTTTTTAAGTGATCCTCCATTGCAGCCTTACTGCAGTTTATATAGCGATAATCGTGAATCCATCTACTAATTAATTGACTCTTTGTGTTCGCTTTTTTAGCGCTTATTTGCTCGGGTTTGCCACCATGTGAGAGCCACATAGATAGTCAGGCAGTCCGACCAAATGACCATCCAGCATCCAACCAGTCGCACATCTCATTTCTCGCGGCGCTTTCGTTTCATTAAAAGCCTGTTTCAATTTTCTGCATTTTAGTGCATGATGCACTTTGGCATCTCGAGTTGAGGCGGGCCACTCAGCCATACTCCTTTTTTTTTAGTCTTCTTATGGTTCCGGCCCGCCTTTTGGCTTTAGGACCGGCTTTGTGATCTCTCAACATACATATGTATATTTGCACTTTGTCCGTCGCATGTGATGTGCCCTGCTTCTTTGTATGGCTGTATTCGCCTGTTTCTCCCTGTTCATCCTCGCTCGATCTGCTATCTTTAATGCCCAAAGACTTGAGCCGTATCGGGGCTTTTAACCCATGGTAACTGCACTGCGGATTGGTAAAAATTTAAAACTTAAAATAAAAATTAAATATATTTATTATGACTAGCTGGAAATTGAGTATTTTCTTCAGAATTGTATATTTTAAGATTTTCACATATTTTTTAGTTTGAAGGTCGGGTTTTTTTTCAGCAATAATTTGACGATGGGTTAATATCGGCACCGCTTGTGCTGATAATTTTGACATTTAGTCCCTTATCTTAAGTTTATTTCTGTTGAAAATGGAAATTCAAAGGAACTCTACGCTTGCAGTCTTATTTGTATCTCTGTGAGGTTTCTAAATTAGCACCTACACAGGGTTGAAAGAAACCGAAGGAGGATAGTTCGGGTCTCCCTCCGGATGGCTCTTCATATCTCGGCGGGCAACTTTATTAGCACAAGCACGGCTTGGATCTTTCGCCGACCTGCTGCGTATTGCCAGCTCTTTCCTCTTATTTCGCCAGGATATGACGAATTATTTTTACCGGTTACCGCGCCCTTCCCTTCAAACATTCCGTCGCATAGACGAATTGGTAGGGCCGCGATCGAGTGATTCGCGACCCTTTGTCATTTTTATTTTTCCATTTTTTCACATTTCGCAGTTTTTATTGTCTGGTTGGGGTTTATTGTTGTATGGGAGCCAAACTTTTGGATCCGTTCCAATCCTACCTAAATTATAGCACGTCCGTTTTATTCTTTGGCAGCGTATCGGTTTCTTGTGGATGAAATAGGTCTCACAACATATTTGATTAGACCTATCAAATAACCGCGTATCAATGTATTCGGTAGATATAGATGAGTAATTTTAATTTTGAAGAACAATCAATAATTTTGATTGCTTACCTTTGCCATTAATTAAATATACAGAAAAGAATACATAAAATATTCAAATGAATTATGATATTTGATCTTGTCTCAAAGATCGCTTTTCTAAACTAAACTTGACTAAAAAACTCTGATTCTGGTTGCCATTTGCACATGTACCTTTTCTTGTAGTTTTCCTGGGTATTTGTATTCATCATACCCGCCCAACTTTAAAGTAAAACATTTATGTGGCTACCGTAACTGAAGAAGCAGGATAATCCAATGTAACTCTCTTTGGTAAGCAGTACATGCCTTTTCCCCTTTTCCTTCGTTTTGGGAGTAACTTTAGATTCTTTTAGTCTGAGCGGCGGTAATTCACACGGTGTCCCCAACCCACGAATGATTCTTGGCATTGTAATTATCGCATTATTCCTATGGCTTCTGCAAGAGGAGCAAATAACACGTAAGGAGAAAGAAGAGTTGAGTTGGCAAAGAGAAGTCCCGCTGTGAGTCTTCGGGCGGATTTAATTGCAGGTGGGCGCCGGCATGGAGGGCATACAAATCCACTGATTCCCTTCTCCTCGTATTTTCCTCCACGGAAAGAAAATAGTGACTCTAGTGACGTTATTAATTTAAGAAGCGGTTAAACAGAATACTCAAAAAATAAGCGGTACAGTCAGCGTAAATCAATAGATACAGGTTAAATAAATTGAGAAAGGAAACTAATTTTAAGGGAATAATTTTATTTCTAAATTTTTGAATTTGTTGAAATTTTTTACAAATATATTTTTAAAATTTTGTATTTAAGTCCCTTTGATTTTCCCTATTTTTCCGACATAAAATATCCGCGCGCTGAGCGACCGAGAAGATAAGTAAAATAAATATTGACGCGCGTCCGATTCGCAAGAGCAAAAGCAAACAGCAGAAAAGAGATGTAAAAAAAGGGGGAAGAGCCGAACGGAGCAAACATCGTGACTTGGAGCGGCGGCAAAACATCAAGCATACTGAATAAAGTACTCAAAACGTATTTAAAAGTACTAAACACAAGTACCAGAGATTAATAAGTGCTTTTGAACTCAGCCGACCAGAAAACTGGTTAATGGGACGCCCGCCAAGAGCGAAATAGAGGTATACCACTCTATAGATATTCGCGTATCTGTGGGATACGATTTGGGTGGTGGGTGGACCGTATACACATGCATACATACCTGCACATCTTTGTCAAACATCGGAGAAAAAGTCCACTGAAATCAACGTCAACCAGTCGCCAAATGGAAAATGGCAAAGAAGAGGAGGCGTGGAAAATATGATCGTTTTCCATGTTGAAAGCGTTTAACGGCTGAGTAAATCCTCTTTTAAGCGGCTCCGCTTTGAAGCCGTGAATATTGTTGAAACTATCACCTAAATTGCAGGACATAAAACTGGTACCTGGCTTAGATATTATAAAACCCATTAAAATAATACATACTTTGGAAATAAATGTTAATAATAATTTAATAATAAACGAATACTACGATAACTATGTTAATAGCCATGACATTAAAGTTTTCGTGAAATAAGCCGATGATTGCCATTCATGACTACCGTTTACGATCGTTTCCTACATCCGTCCCAAAAGATCCCCATGTCTGGCGACATTCCCCCTAACAAAAGGGACCGTATTATCACAATTGGACTAATCTCCTCGGATCCTAACCGATCCCCACTTAAGTGCGAGCTAGAGGGCAATAGGGCCTCAGAAAGAGAGAACTGTTCTTTGATCGCGGCACTTAACAGAAACACTATTAACCACCAAACAAAAAAACATAAACCCCGAATGTGGAATGAATATTGGGTAAACAAAAGAGGCTGGATTGATCGCTGAGAGTAGGGAAAGGCCAATTGCAAGTGCTTACATTAGCTATTGTACGCCATCCAGTCAGTTCCATTCCCATTCCATTTTTAGAGCGAAATCTTTGATGATTTTCCTACGTGCGCATATAAGTTCAAACAACCGTCGGATTTTGAGAATCAACAGTAAAGAAAACTAAGAGGCCTGCCCTCTGTTTCGTTTCCTCCAGCCTCTTTCTTTCATTTCAGGTGTATAGTACTTACATGGGGATTAGCTGTGTTGACAATTAGAGATCTAAAGAATGGGGGATCATCATAGAATGTTAAGTGGGTGGAGCATTATTATTACTGTTTATCTGGGAAGTAAACATAAAATATTATAGTAATATAATACACAACACCACAAACCGAAACTAATTAACTGATAATTTAAATAAAAATATACGGAAGTCCAAGATACCAACAGGTGGCTACCTATCCGATCTAATGCTATGCATTTCCTCTTGACTCTACCTTCAACCTCCCAAAGATCAAGAATCCTCAGCAAAATTTGCAGCAATTCGTTTTGATCTTTGATTTTTCCGAGGCACCCGGGAAAAGCAGTAAGAAGAGGGCCCAAAGTGAAGGCCCAGTCGAGGAGCAAAATCTTATCTGGCTGCCGGAAATCAAAGCGCACATCAAAGAACGCCGACGCCGTCATTTGCGGCGTGTGGGGATCGCGGTGTTCAATTGCATCTACCTCAACCTCCAGCCAGCCCCACCTCCTCTGCAACCACTGCATCCATCCCCCGCCGCCCAACCCCCCAAGATCGCTTTCTGTTTGATGTTGCTGTTGTGGTTGGTCGACGTTGCCGATCAAGTTTCCTCACCCTACACCAAGAGAAATGGGGGAGCCAAATTGTGTTTGCCATATTCCGACGTTTAGATATAAATTATATATTATGTCCTGAAAAAACCATTAAAATTATGACTCATAACTTGGTACTTGTAGTGTGGTTTCCACTTCCTAAAAATTTTTGGTTAATTTTTAAACTTTCCCATTAAGTTCGTCCTAAACTAAAATTAAAGTTTAAGAACCAACATTTAATATTGTTTTTATTACTTTTTATTTCTTCCTGTGCACCTACTGTTTAGGTCGAGCCGATCGACTCTCCAGCTTGTATGGCACGACAGTCGTTTGAGGAGCTCACCTGCCGGCCACTGATTCTTCTCAGATAAAACGCTTCAATCTCCATAATTTATCCATGTGTGGGTTCCCCAGTCCGGATAAAAACTATATTAACATTAAAATCGACCAAATTTAAGGACCATTACTCTTTAATTTTCAAAAAAACAAAGCAAGAACGAAAGTGGCTTTCCAAGCACAGGGCTTACATCATGTTTCGCCACTGCCCTCATTAAGGAGTCCATCTATTTCTTTCAAAGTTTTATTTTTTTTCCTATGGGGTGGCTTAAAAATCGGTACATTTATTTGTCTTCATTACGCATTGAAAGGAACTAATTGTGCAAACATATAGCCGTCCAACATGTTACAAGCCACACACAAAAAAAAGTATGCAAAAACACAAATTTATTTGTTAAAATTGCACTTCTTTGCAATCATCGGTGTCAAGCATTCTTAGAAATAGGCTTCTGAAAAAAAAACAAAATAATAAAAAAAATGTTATATAGTATTAATTTGCTTAAGCAATAAAACAACAACTTATTGGGAAATCTCGTTTACAGTTTTTAAGAATTTTAATTGTGAAATTCTATTTCATGACCCAAAAAATAAAACACCAATTTACTTGCAAATTTTTGAATATTGTGAAGTAATGTTTCTATGATCATTTTGCACATATTTTTTTTGTGTGCAGCATTCGAACAAGTTCGAGGCAATATGAGCGGACAAAACTCAACGACCAGCGACCGATATCGGCAGTTTGTAGAAAAATCCAAAGAATACCGGTCGCGAGCGGTTTCTGTGTGCGGTTTATTGAGAATCTAGAGAAATACGTAATTTACTAGAAATCATAATAATCAAAAAACAATCTGAACTTTTAAGTGCTCGCGAGTTTAGTTTAAGCCAGAAACCATCTGGAATTTTGAAAAATGATTCCGTGAAACCAATTTACTATTAAAGTGTGTCAAAATGTACGCCAGCCTGATCCTGCTCGCTATTTTGGCCGTGGCTATGACCTCGGCCAGCAATCCTGGGCACAATGGCCAAGTGGCAGCCGGCTCGAATGGATTACAGTGCCAGCCGATCGCCGTTTCCGCCTGTCAAGGTCTTGGCTACAACATGACCGCATTGCCAAACCTGGCGGGGCACACCAATCAGCTGGAGGCAGAGCTTCAGGTAAGCTGCTCACATATATAATGCTGTGAGCCAAAGAGCAGACCTGTCCCGGCTCTCAGCGATCCCACGTTGTCGATAAGCCAGGCTTTTGTGTGGCCCATAAAAATAATTCTCATCGCTTACGTGCCAAAAACAAAACACTACAACAGCGCCTAAAAAGTAAAAAACCACAGGCAGTTAATTACGTTTAGAATACTATAAAACACAATTTCAGATGCTTACCAGTATTTTTGAGCATTTTAAACTGCTTCTAAAATAAAGAAATCACATTTTGTTTTAATGAATTAAATAAATATTAAACTTTCACTTAAACACCTATCCAAAGTACTGCAAGTAATCACAGCAAAACAAAACAATAGCAGCAAAATCACATACTCTAGCTAAAATTTCGAAATGGTGAATGACGAATACGTGGGGCTTATGGGTTTTATGGAGGGGCTGGTGAAGGGGGAAAATTCGGAGAGCGGCAGCACTTCAAAGTGGGGATCATTCGCCCCTCAGTCTCACCAACCCCATCCACCGCCCACACTCTATTCCCACTGTTTGCTTTTGCCTTTTCAGTTTTTACTTAAGCTTCGGCGATGTTAGATAAACATAAAGCCATGGAGAGATAAAAAAGTTAATAACTAACAAATATTAGAAACCACACCAAACATTTAAGACATTTTGGGACTTTTGCGGGTTTTTTTTAGATAAATATTCATATTTGAATGGACTTATTATTTTGAATTTGTTGTTGTTAAAGGCTCTTTAAAAAGCCAGAGCATTACGAAAGTTGGAATCTAAAATGTATAAAATGTTGTGAATAGTAGCGGCCGTTTCCTATTTTCGAATGTCTTCCGTTCCTCTGTTTTTATGTTTTTCAGTATCTTTCGAAGGTTTCATTTCCATTAGCAACGCTCTGGGGAACCAGACGAAGCGGCACAAAGAAGGCAGCCCGATTTGAGAGCAATGTATCTAGATAAGAGTGAAAACACGACTGTCTGATAAACACCATTGCACTATTACTACAAAGAAGAAGTCAAAGAGCGATATTTAATTGATTTTCAGTTAATGGATAATTGTTCCAAAATATATGGAATGCTATAGTCGGCGCTATAGTTTCATGTCTTTCTCAAAGCTTTGTTTAGGGATTCCTAGAATGCTTTATTAATTTACATTTTCCAGCACTTATAGTTTTATTAAATTCCTTATATACTTTTTTGGTAAATAGTATTCAAATGTTAAAGCAAGTCTTTATTTCTTTCTAAAATCGGTGATTGCATATTCGAATAAGCTGCGACTTAAACTCGTTCCATAATTTACCGTGAAAATGGTCCATGAAAATCGCTGAGTAGCCGCAGAGTGCGTGAAAATGGGCCGCCGAGGAAAAGTCGGCGGAATGGTCAGGGCATTTAGTGGACAACTCGAAAAGACCCACCGAAGATAAGCGATGGTGCCGGCAAAAAAGAGAGAAAAGAAAAAATGGGCGAGAAGAAAGAGCTGCCGCTTGCGGGAAATATTTACCATGCCTGCCGGCAAACACTGAGACAAAATTATAAATACATTTTTATTTTAGTTAAAGTACCTAATCTTATATTTAAGTTATTAAAGTTGTTATTAGTTTTATTAACATATGTTGTGAAAATTCTCCTAATATTTTGTAAACAAAAAGTCAGGACTGCGTTTGCTGCTATTAACCAAAATATTTGTACAAATTTTATACATTTTTTTGTGTGTAGCTCAGATAGAAGCTGTATCTGTTCTTTTGTACCTGTGTGCACCGTCGCACTATGGGGAATTTGACCACTTTTTTTGGCCAAAACCCATTTTTTTAAAGTCGTTAAACTAAAATTGTGTTTTCTAGAATACTTTAACGGAAGACCAATCTTCAATGTTACGTTTCAGGAATTTCGATAGAGGCCGCCTCTGCTAACTTACAGCTGTTAGATCAGCTGCTGTATGTTGCATTTTCACGCCTCAGAAATTTGACGCAATGCTGAGACTATTTAATTGCTAAAAAATAAGAGTCTTAAATCAATTTAAGTGGAGTTTTTTGAATTAATTCAAGGGAGGGTAGTGTGCACTAAGTATTTGTGTGATTAAACAATCTAAATTAATCGTGGTTTTCTTGTAATCGATTATTTTTGTGACCGGTCTAACATGAATATTTTTAAAGAAAACCAATTTTTAAATAGAGATACAAAGCGAGTCCAGCGGAGTCCATCCATCAAACCTTAGGGAATTAAAGAGTAAGGAATTCTCTTTAAAATTAATGTAGTCAGAAAATTCACTTTTTCGATTCTTGGAGAAATTTAGTTTTTTAGATCATAACCTCAAATTTTGCAATTGCCCCTTTGTTTGCACTGTGGAAGAAAGATATCAATAGACATACATTTGAAATGTCTTCTAAAGTAAGGCAAAAACCCTTATCGCTACCATTTGACAATAAAAGCGGACTTAGGAGGTTGTAAAAAGAAAAATAAAGCTATAACTGTATCAAAAAATGAAAGAAATGGCATGTAAACTCTGAGAATTTTCGGTTCTATGAAACTAAAAGAAATATTCTTCCGATTTTAACACAATTTTCTGTGTGGTTTTAATACTGTATTAAAACAGTACTTATCAAGTTTTATGCATTTATCTCTAAAAATAGCAAAGTTGATCTGATCATTCCTATGGCAGCTATATGATATAGTTGTCTGATCCGAAAGATATTCATGCAGAATATGCGTTGTGATAAATAATAACGATTGCTAAAGTTTTACTTTGATATCTTTAAAATTGATGGAGTTATTAATATTGGCCAAAAAAAGTGGTCAAATTCCCCATAGTGCGTCGGGTCCATTAACACCTTTCGTTTGGACTTCGGTTTCCTTTGAGCGTATCTTGCATTTCATGCCCATGCCCGCTTTTGGATAAAAAAGGCAAATGTCGATGGCGATGACGCGATGTTGTTGATTTCGATGCTAAGTGCAGACAATGGGTAAGACATGCTCAGTGTTTCTTGACCAAATCTTGATATTTAGCTATTTTTCAAGGGTCTTAAAGTATCGTTTGCCATGTTCGTAAATATTAGCTTTACATTTTTGTAATATTTGTTTAACTTATTGGTGTAAAAAATGTCAAATGCTAAATTGCATACATAGAAAACATAAAAATAACACTTCATATATATATTCCGATTGCCGAAATTGGTCCCTGACTAATTTTTTTTATCTCAAATTTTCCGGCATCACTGGCAGATACAGTAGGCAGGCCCATAGACTTTTAAACTGGCCACAGCTTTGGATATTCTCTCTTTATTTTCTTTTGGTTTGGATTTTATTTGGTTGTATTTTTTGGACGTTAGCGGAGCGCGTTGCCGCCTTCTTTGTTATTGTGGCGCTGAAAAGAAAAATAAAATAAAGTGCATTGTCTGGTCTGGGACTTTTCATCCATGGTTTTATCGTTTTTCTCTGTTTCTTACACCACCTAACTTTTGCAGTATATTTACTCTAATATAATATTGTCCGTTTGAAAACGGCCCTGACTAGACTTCTGTACCCGATAGCTCTTTTGCTGTTTTGTAGTTAATCAAACAAAACTGCCTCATAGGTTCTCAAACTTCAAATTAGTATATCTCAAGAACGGCTTAGTAGAACAACGTGCAACTTTACACGTTTTTAAATGTGTACTGGGGAAGTTAGAAAATAATTTTCTAAAATTTTTTGTTGTCCAATAAGTATGAATTTTAATTATTTGAAATTTTGTATCACGGTTTTGACTGTCTTCTTCATCCTATAAAAAAAAAACTTAACTATCCAAGATTGTCCATCTCATAACCAACTTAATTTACCCGAAGAAACATTTTTGTTCCTTTTCATCATTTCCAAGATATATATTTTTTTATGCGAATTTAGAAAAACCCTATTTATATTTCCAATGAGTACAATTCTTACATGTTTAAGCTGAAAGTTTGCACAACTCAATCACTCACTGATATTATGCACATATATTAATATCATAATTTTACCACCGTCCCTTCATATAGCTGTCATACAAATCGATGGATTTTCTTAATATTAGGAAGGTAGGCTTTGAAAAAAATTTTTGTTTCAGATTGTAACTTTAATTTAATTTATAGAAATGGAAAATCTACTAAAAAAAAATAGTTGTAGTTTCCGCTTTCCCGTGTCATTTTCAAGATTGAAAGTTGGAAAAAACAATAAAAGTGCATTTCTCCTCAGGTTATTACTTATCGTATGTCGTTTATCTCTATGCTTTCCTATTCTGTGAGTGGGCGTTGTCAAGTGCCGACAAAAAACCCGAGTGCTCGTCAAGCGACAATTACACGAAAATTAATTAAAAGTGCGTCTCTCTAGGTTTGTGTTCAATAGATAACCATCAAGGGACTGCATGCAGCTTTTATTTAGATAACTCTATAAACAAAGTTGGTATTTACAGGTACTTACAGAGAGATAGCCCTAAATTTGTCAAATTTGTTTCCACCCCATAATTCGATGCAACGAAGCGATTTTGATTCTATAAGGTATATATGTACGATCTAGCCACGTACATTTAAATTTGTGCATGTTCAATTCTAACAGGTACAATTTTTAACATTTGCTCATATGTGGAATGTGGCCTGGGCTTTTCACGATTGTTATTACAAAAATTCATAATTCACATATAGTGAAGACAATATAGACATATAGTGAAGACAATCTGAGCCGGCGTTTTATGTTAAGTAATTGTAAACATTTGAGCAAGAGAATTAGCCGGCGAACGAAAGTCCAAAAGCCAAGCAGATCTCTGAAAAAAATAAATAAAACTTCACACAACGCCGCTACCAAATAGATGGCTGCCATAAACAACAACTGCGACAGCGACGATGGCGACAATAAAATTGTTTGATTTTGAAAATCAGAACCCATTATGAATGCTCAGCAACCAGTTCCCCATGAAAGAGGGCTCCAAAGGGGGTTTTTAGTACCGAGAATTCTGTGGGAATGCCGTGAAACTTATTTTTTATGACAATT